GACTATAAATTAAAACAATTCAGGAACACATTATCCACAGGCACTCACAAGAAGATGTGTTTACAGTTGATACACTAATTCTAATAATAGGGACTTTTCTTAGAAATAAGGATATTTTACAGGGAAAAATGAACATATAGCCTCACCTTTGTCACACTGGAATAACAGCTAGCCAATGGCCAAGTTATATGGTATGAAGATATCATAATGATTTGATATCACTTAGCCTTAGTCACATGGTCTCAGATGAGAATAACATAAAGAATTGCAGATGGACATTTCAACCAGAAAACGTGGTTCAAACTCCAGCCTCTTGTGTATCAGCCCTAAAACTTGGGGCAGATTCACCGAAATAAGCTCAGCTTCCTCATCTATAAAATAATGACACCTTGTAAAGTTGTTTTAGGGATTAAATGAGCTAATGTATGTAGCATAGCATAATAACAGCTCTCTTAGTCTACCTGGGCTGCTATAACAAAATACTACAGACTGGGTGCCTTATAAACAATAAAAATTTACTCCTCCAAGTTTAGGGGGTTGGAAGTCTGAGATCGGGGCGCTACCAGGGTCAGGGTCTGGTGAAGTCTCTCTTCTGGGTGGCAGACTACTGACTTCTCATGTGCCCTCACAGGGAAGGAGCAGGGAGCCTGTGGGACCCCGTCTATAAGAGCATGAATCCCAATAATGAGCTCCACCTTCAGAGCCCAATCACCTCCCAAAGGCCCTGCCTCCAAACACCATGCTTTGGGTGAGGATTTCAATGTATCGGTTTTGTGAGGACACAAGCATTCAGGCCTTAGCAATGGCCATGCAGAAAGATTTGAAAGGTGATGATGATGATGATGATGATGATGATGATGATGTTGCTAAAGGAGGTATGTGATGTTTTTTTGGATGAAACCATTTAACTCTTCTTAATGAGATGACTGGTACAGTTATGAACAAAACTTAATGGAAGCGATTTCAACATATTGGCCCATTATTTAGTATTAAGAGGAAAGGAGATGCCTGGCCGGCACGGCTCAGCGGTTGAGCATCAACCCAGGAACCAGGAGGTCACCAGTTTGATTCCTGGTCAGGGCACATGCCCGGGTTGCAGGCTCAATCCCCAGCAGGGGGAGTGCAGGAAGCAGCTGATTGATGTTTCTCTCTGATCATTGATGTTTCTCTCTCCCTTTCTCCCTTCCTCTCTCTAAAATCAATGAAAACTTTTTTTAAAAGAAGAGGGTTTGATCTTACGTGGTGACTGCGATGCAGAACATAGTGAAAATGGAAGATGAAGATGGTGACACCAAGAGTACCATCTCAGTTCCATCTGGTTGTGGAAGAGACCTTCTCAGCAGGAGCTGGAGCAGAAGCCTGAACACCTCACCTACAAAAACATGTGGTGGGCACCTGATGTGAGGATAGCATGAAAGAGCATGCAGCATCCCTGGTTATCTGATTTCATTATTGGCATCATTTTACTGATGAGGAAATTGATACTTAGAGCGATTCAGCAACTTACTTTTAAAAACTTAGAGCCAGTTCAATGATGAACCTAGACCACAGATTTAAGAAATCGCTCAATGGTTTCTTTCTCTGATAAACGACTGGGGCCAGGGACCAAGCCTGCAACTGAGGTAGGTGGCCTTGGCCAGAATCAAACCTGGGACCCTCAGTCCACAGGCCAACACTCTAACCACTGAGCAAAACCAGCTATTGCAATACCAACTTTTAAATGAGTTTAGTGATGTGCTTGCATGGAACAAGGTGCCTCTGGGTGGAAACATCTTCTCTGTGTATCCTCTGAAACAGAAACTCAAAATGACCCTGAAGAGCAAGTGTCTGTCTACACATCTCATCAGTAGCATGTGCCAGGCCTCACTGAACCAGCCAGAATCCAGACCTGGGTCCATCCACTATCTCTGCTTCATTGCCGCCCCTGCCTGGGGCCCCTCTGGAGGGCGCACTGCCTCTGTTTCACTTCTAAAGGAACAAATTCTCTCTTTCTATGATGGAAATGTCTTGGAGCAAGACTACAATAACAACAGTTATTATTACAATGCCACTGCTGCTCCTGAATGTTGAATATTTACGTGTCAGGCAGTCTGCTAGGTGCTTCAGATGCATTATCTCTAACCCTGAAAACAAACCCAGAAATGGGAATTATTATCCATATTTCACAGAGGTAAAGTCGATTGTCAGATGTCAGGGAGTTACGGGGATGAACCCACGGGGTTAATTTTGCTCTGACTCCAAACCTGTGCTTAACCAACTGAAGCACAACAGAGACAGGTGTAGAATTACCCTAATACTTTCTACTCCCGTTATTAGTAGGGCAGTTAAAAGCTAACAGATACTTGGGGATTCACAGTGGATCGTTATTCTGTTACTCTAACAGCACCTTAGGTTTACACTGTGCAATATAACACACAAGTGCTTTCTATGTGATTTACTTTGTTGGGCTTTACCCTAGTCCGGAAACTCTCATATGTAGCTTTTACCCCCATACTTGGACCATCTAAATGAATTTATAGTGGGAACTGAAATTGTTGGTGTTTATGTCTATTATATTTCACATATCAGGGTATTGTCTGATGGAAGCAATATCATATTTAACCTAACGAGGCCCAAGATAAAGAAGTAGAGAAGCTTAAATATATTCTTTCTTTTTCGCCATGTAAAGTTGCCCTTTCCCATAGCTGAATAACAATTAAGATCCCCTATTATAATCTCATTGAAGCCTCTGAGACAGCATCTGGAGTTTCCCGCACTCAAGGGGGTTATATGCCAATTTGGGGAACGGGCTTGTCCAGGTTTAACTAACAGATATTAAGGTATAGCTTTCTACTAGCCTATCCAACTTTCCTGTTGTCTCCTTAATATTAAAAAAAATAAAAAATTTGCCCTCTTCTGCTAACCAGCTAATGAGCAAAAACACTTTTCCATGCATTAGATCAAAACCAACCAAAAGATTTTAGGTGCAGTCTTAAAGCTGAGTTCTATCAGAGGGGTGACACCAGCTTGCCTGGTGTGGGAGCAAGAACAGAATGTGAAAAAATGCGCCCAATATCTGCCTAGGGAGAGGTGGCTGAAGAAGGGAGAAAGGTGACTCAGAGGTCATGAGCTGTTCACCGAAATTACTTAGAGACTATCCCATTAAAAACAAATAAATATCTGCCGGCCGGTATGGCTCAGCGGTTGAGCATCGACCTATAATCCGGGAGGTCTCGGTTCCATTCCCAGTCAGGGCACATGCCGGGGTTGCTGGCTCAATCCCCAGCAGGGGGCGTGCAGGAGGCAGCCGATCAATCAGTCTCTCATCATTGATGTTTCTCTCTCTCTCTCTCCGTCTTCCTTCCTCTCTCTGAAATCAATAAAATATATTTTTAAAAAAACAATCCAAATAAATATCATCTAACAGATAATGTCCATGATTATATGGTTCAAATGATCCACCTTTACTTTTTGCTACTCTTGATGTTTTAAACGATGGTGAAATGAAAGGAATGCAAACATTTGCATTACACAATCACGAGAATAAAACTGGACCCAGATCTGGATTCTTCGGTGAGATGGAGATGCTAATGAGCAGTCAGTGTCCACAAAAGCCTCCCCTCAGCATAATGAGAGATTAGTAAACTAGATTGCATCGCCCCTTGAAATTGTGTGTTTGAATCATCCCTCCCTGCCATGCAGCCCTTTCCGAGTGACACATTCTATAGCAGGCCAATAACTCATTTCTGCTTCCCTGAAGGTTTCTCTCCCTATCTCTCAACCCAAAAGGCATTACTCATAAATATTAACATTTTGTTAGTGCGGCATCTTGGGCCCATTTGAATTGTTGAGATTGGGATGTGATTTGACTTGAAAAGAGCAATGGAGTAACTGTGAGTCCAAGGAAAGAAATTAGTTTTGCAGAAGAAAATATCTGAAACTGTGCCTAAAATAAGTGGCAACCTTTGGTTTCTATACTATCCAAATAACGAAAGTCACAATGAAAATGTTAGGCCCATTTTTACATCTCAAAATTGGATACTGACCCTTCAAGCTTATTTTTTTCTCCTCAAAAATCACAAGAATAGCCCTTTTAAAATAAATGTCTAACACATATTAGCTGTTCTTATTAACATCTCCACATGCATCATTTCAAAAATCTTCACAAAAAACTAATTATTATTCTTACTCACTTTGATACTTAACTTTCCTACAAATTGCAGAGATGAGATTTGAACCCTGAGCTGTTGAGCTCCGGAGCTGGGGATCTTCGCCGCTGCTTAAAGTTAACGTGGTATGGGCACTAACAGCGGAGGGAAGACACCGTTCTGTCCCTTGCTTTGTAAATCTCTTCCTTGCTGTTCGGAGAATCATTTTGAATTCACATTTCCCCTAGTTTAATGATGGCACACATCATTAGGCTCAAATAGGGAAACTGAAACTATTTTTACATACATACTTTTTTTGGCAAAATAAGATGCTGTACTGGGCACCTTCAAGGCGGTATGTGCGAGCAGTGCGCATTTGATATCTCTAAGTGTATCTGTATTGATGGGCTCTTTGACTACGTAATGTTTTAAGGTAATTAAACCACAAAAACTCATCGGAATAATGTTTAGGGCTGACTTAAACCCTTAAAAGCCATTAGCTGCTGAATGCCAAGTTGCTCTGAGTCTCTGTCTGCATGAAATTGAATCATATTTGAAAGGTTTTGTAGGCTAGCGGCAAGATTCATAAAATCCCTACAGCTTTCCAGCTTTCATCACAAACCAGAAAATCAGAGGCAGGGAAGGAGAAGCGCTGGACTTGGGAGAGGAAACAGCACGCGATTTTTCATCCACTGTTTCCCTGGAATTTTCAGCTAATTAACCCCATTTTGCCTTTACATGGTAAAACTGCAAACACTCATTTACCATTTGTTTTGTTCAAATAAAAGAGTATGTGTGCTATACTTACAGGAATTGGTACAGGGGACAGAGAGACTGATAAGGCGCCAACCCTGCCCTCAAGCAGCTTCACAGTCACGAGAGAGGGGCAGGTGAAAAAATGAAACTGAGAGTGCCGGGGTGAGCACAGCAACGGAGGAGGACTGCAAGGGCAAAAAGGAGAGATTATGAGTGGGGTCAAGGAAGGCTTCAAGGGAGAGGTCATGACTGAGCTGAATTCAGAAGGCTGATGCAGTAATCAGGCAGAGGAAGTGTAGCAAAGTATTGCAGACTAAAAAATAAATAAATAAATAAAAAACACACTGGAACCCTAGCCAGTTTGGCTCAGTAGTTAGAGCGTCAGCCCGAGGACTGAAGGGTCCCAGGTTTGATTCTGGCCAAGGGCAGGTACCTGGGTTGCAGGCTCGATCCCCAATTCCGGCTGGGGTGCATGTGGGAAGCAACCAATCAATGTGTCTCTCTCACATCGATCTTTCTCTCTTTCTCTCTCTCCCCCTTCCACTCTCTAAAAAGCAATGGAAAAAAAATACCATCAGGTGAAGATTTAAAAAACACACAAAAACGCACTGGAAAAAGTAATGGCATTTTTCATTCAGATTCAGATTTCAATCAGAGTACCTCACACACACACATACAGGTGCGCAAGCATGCATGCCCATGTGCGTTCATGCTTTTTTAAACACCTGGCATTCTGATAAAGATTATGTGACCACCTGCAGACTCTGCTCATAGATGTGTCTATATGGATTAAATGCTTCTGTCATGGAAGATCATGGCATGCTCAGAGCCCCATTCCTCCTGGCCACTACCCCGGTCCACTCCACCACCAGGGCTGCCGATGCGAACCTTCCTACCGTGTCTTCCTTCCCCTCCTCAGCCCAGCTCTCTCCCAACATGGACACTCCTGCAACCCCCTCCTCTGATCACTGTGTACTAGACTGGGGTCTGGACCTCAGGTGAGCCAGGGGGGCCTCACAGTTTTCAGCTACCTACTCAGTTAGATGTGGGGAAGCCCATTTAAATTTCAAATGGATTCTACATCATTTCAGCTATAAAATAGAGTCATAGGCAGAGAACATAACCATTATATTCATGGTACTGGCTTGATGGAAAGCATATTAATTTCAATCAGTAGATGATAGGAACCTGGTATATATAAGGGACTGAGGTGTGCTAGGAAGCATGTACAGCTGGACTGAGACACAGGTCCCCCTAAATAGGTTCATATTTTTTCTCAGAGACTTAGCAGGTATTTCTTCAATGGTAAAGTAGACATATTGATGTTTACTTCTGGTGGTGGTTCTGTGCATTAATAAGATAATGTATATAAAGTTCCTATAATATACGCAATGTTTATAAGAGCTACACAGTAAACATTTCTCCCTTTAGTTAATGCTTTAAGTTATTAGATGGGCCAAATAATTCAATGGCTTCCCTTTGCCTAAAGAAAAAGTGACCAAAATGTATTACACAACTCCGATCTTCTACCTAATAACTTCTGACAACCATCTGACCACATACTCCTCCACCAAATACGCTGCATCTCAGCAAAAGCGGCTGAGCTAACCTTTCCTGAGCATATGGTTGCGCCTTCTCTTATTCTGTTCCTCAATTCTGCTAAGAAATATTGAAGAAAGCATCAGACAAGTTGTTTCTGCCATTCGTACTACTGCACTTAACAAAGAAGTGAGCTCGAGGTGCTTTTGTTGTTCTGTTCTATGTACTTTTAATCCTTCCACCAACAGTCTATGATAGAAGCCTACCTTCTTTTTACTAAGATCCCTGAGCCTTAGAGGAAATCAACTCAGTAAGAATTTTCTGATGACGCTTTTCCGAGTTCAAGTAAAAGTATATTCCAGGAATTTCCTGGGATCCTCAACGTTAAACAGGACCACCTTGGCTGCCCAGCCCAGAGCCACCATTGGCATTTATCTTAGGATGATGGTAGGCATGTGGAGTCCAGCTCCCAGCTATGTAAATTCCATCGCAACCCACCCTTTACCCTGGACTATATCACCCTCTTGATTACTGGTGGAATCCTCGCCGTAATAGACAATCACCAACTTTATGTACTGCTTGTTTCCCATCTGTTTCACATTCCAGCCTGTAAGTGCCTTGAAATCAGTGACCTTGTCAATATTGTCTAACATCTGAATTCTTACTTTGTTCCAGTTACTGTGCTTGGGAGAAGAGATTAATAAATAGTGGGTGAATGTATAAATGAGAATTAAATGGAATTATACATTTAAAATAATTTTTAAACTCCAAAATGCCACGAAATATCACATCCTTGTTGGTAATATCTCAGTTGCACAATGGCTCTCAAACTCTACATAGTGTCACTACGTCTGCTATTCCTAATCTCTAGCTATTATTTATCGAATACTTATTTATGCTTAATATGATACAGATATTACCACATTAATCCTCATAAACTGTTTATGATACAGTGTCATAATTCCCTCTCTCCCTTCCACTTACAGATAGAAGAGCTGAGGTGCATAGAGCTGAAGGGAATTTAAGAGGAGAGGCGATGAGAAACAGGTCTGGAGGAACTGAAGCTGGTAAGTGGCAATGAGGAAAGAAAAATAGTGATGGATTCAAGGCTACCACTGGAAACAGTGCATGCTGTGCTCTGAGACAATAAGAGTTATTAAGTTTAAAATAAAGATTTTATAATCCAATATGATTGGGAACACTATAGGTAAACAAAGGTGACAGCTTCTCAATCGCACCGTAGTTGCCTTTCCGGATGATGTAAATATCTGATCCATGTATATTTCACTCTCCGAGGGAACATTTTTATTTATTTTTTTCATAGAGCATTTCATGGATAAAATGTTCTGAACAAAACACTTCAGCACATAATCATCTCGAGAAGGATTACGCAGACTACGGCCTGTGGACCGAGTCCAGGCTGCTGCCTGTTTTCGTCAATGAAGCTGTATCAGGATACGGTCACTCCCGGTTGCTTGCGTGTCGTCCGTGGCTGCACTGGGACGACAGCAGCAGAGCTGGGAGGTTTCAACAGAGACCGTAGGGTCTGCAAAGCCGAAACATTTACTCTCTGGCTGTTCAAAAAAAGACGCGGCCGAGCCCTGATTCAGAAGGTGGAGTTGCCAGGACTAGCGGGTCAAGTACATGTAATGAGTAACATAAAGGAATGAAACGGGTTTCAAAACTGCAGCTGCTTGCGGGGCTGGACAGGGAGCACGGGGCGGGTGCAGCCAACCCATGGCCAATTTGTAAACTCGTCGAAAGAGAGCTCTAGGTTGCTGGCTTGTTGAGTTAGGTGGTGCTACTGCTTCTATGAAATGCAATTATGCTTTTAAACTGTCCAGCAGGTTCCTAATATTTGGGGTTTATTCTCCAAATGTGTAAACTACTACTCCTGCCACTACTAATGATGATAAGAACAGTAACCACCGCAGGTATAATTTCAGAGTATTTTGTTTGAGGATTGAGTAGGACATGGGAATAAATACTTAGTTAGGTTTATAATATAATGACACCTTAGACTAATAAAAGGAAACGGATTTTACAGCCATAAAATTGGGGGGAAATTGCCTAGGATTGGGGGACAAGGAAAGCTGGGTTTTCAAGCAAAATGAGTTGACTAGAAGAAAGTGTGGACGTTGGGGAAGGACTTTGGCCTGAAAATTTTGCAGTATGGGGAAAAAGGCAAAAGCAAAGCAAGCAAGAAAGACAATGTGACAAATAAATGGGAGAACATGATACATCTGAAACCATGATGGTAACCAAAGCTAAGAGCAGGGTATGGCCAGGCTTCCTCCAAAAAGAAAATAATTATTTCAATGAATGAGTGACCATTAAGACTTTAAAATGCCCAATTAAAAGTGCAAATAAATAAGAGCAAGGGACTCTACCCTTTCTAACGTTTGCTATTTTATTGGTAAAATATTTTGATTAGAATTAAAATGAAGGTGGTATCAGGAAGAAAAGATGCTTTCCAAACAAAGAATCTGCTCAACAATAGAGTTGAAGTATTTGAACACTACACACACACACACACACACACACACACACACACACACACTTATGTGTATGTTTTGCTTTTCAAGGAGACAGAAACACTCTCACTATGATGCACACAAGAAGTACATCAGCCAAGCAGAATGTTCTGGTTGAAATGAAACCTTTCTCCATAAACAACATTCAGTGAGTCCAGCTCTACCCATTGGAAAGCAGAGGATTTTGTCTACTTTAGAAACAGCTTTAGAAATGAAAATGACAGAGCCTTGGCCAACCACAGTTTGTTTTATCAGATTTCAAAATATCCACGGTAATTGCTGCAATCCAAGCGCGACCTGGCAGATGAGATGGAGGTGGTCCTGCAGTTCCAACTATCTGAGCTTTCACCCTGGGGTTGAGGGGTGGTATGAATTCTTAGAAATAATGATGTTGGCACTATATTCCCATGTTCATATTTTGACTGTCATATGGAAAGATGGCTGATATTTTTGCAATTCTACAATTTCTTTCTAACGAAAGTGATAGGTAATCTGATCACAAATTAAGCTCAGGCAGGTCACTCCGACCAGACAGCAGGCACGGTTTTACCCCTGGACCTGATCTCCACCAACACTAATAATACATCTGTTTTCTCCTTTATTTGAATAAAACCCAAATGTGTACAAACCTACAAATGTGATGAAAATGTTTAAAATGTAAATCATTTTAATAAAATCTGAATATAAGCCTCACAGGCAGGATGGATTTAAATGCGCATGTTACTGATGAACCTCGCCTTTCATTCTGCACCATCTCATTGCATTTTCACTGGGGACACCTCAGAATCTGCAATGATCATTGTTTCAGCTCTCGCACTATGTCAAGGTTGAACACGCCATTGTATCAAGACTATTACCTTGAAAATTGGGTTTTTAAAAGCTTTTGAAAACAAAGGTCTTCAGCGTGTATTGTAAAATTTTATCAAGTAACGAGTTTCAGAAATGCTTTTCCATTAGCGCATTTGTCCCCAGTGTGGCACTTTTCAAGAGAAGAAAATCCTATCATCACCACTAAATCCTTCTTAAAGTTCTCATTGATCATAGCCTTAGAACAAGATTATTAAAAAAAAAAAAAAATAGTCCTACACTGAGATAATATGTAAGAGATTTTG